TGGGGCCGGGGCGCCCCGCCTTTAACTTCTCTGGCAACTTTTATGAAAGCAGGAAAGAAAAGACTAGACATGCCTGCGCACACAAACACACACGCGCGCACACAGGCCCCCAGAAGGCTCCCGGGGGGCGGCTCTGAATGGCTGGCAGAGGCACAGGTGGCCTGCGGAGCCCCTGCTTGCCTGCCGAGGAGATGGGATGACGATGAATGGGCTTCCTGCCACCAGCCATGGGCCCCACAGCTCCGAGCAGCAGGATGGGGTCCAGCTCAAACCAAAGCCAGGCAAGAGCCTCCGTGACATTTTCATTTCAACATCTTGGTTAGTGGCACAGCCTGGTAACTGCTGTCACTCTCGAGGCTGGAGCCACCTCCAGAAGAGAGGGAAGGGCCTTGGAGCTCACGCCCTGAGCCTGACCGCTGGGGCCCAAGGCCTGGGGCCCTGACCTTGACCGGCTTTCACAGATGAGGTGTGCCTCGGTATCCTCAACTACAAGATGGGGGCGACAAAGGAAGTGATCTCCTGCCGGGGGTTGTCTGGGGCTAGGAGGGACAGTGCATGTGAGAAACCTCATCACAAGGGTTAGTGAGAGGCAGCTTTCTGACCATTTATGACTTACTGCTGGTTTGTGTCTTCTTACAAACCCCAGTTACTGGTGCTGCAGGGGGACTAGCCTGGGTTAAATTCACCTGTTTAGGGATACTGTATTGCCAACTTGGTGTTTCACCATCATTTCACTCATTAAGTAGCATTTAATGAATGAGGCATAAGACAATGAGAGGCCTCAGCACCTGCCTGTCTTCCTACAAGCTAGTCACAGAGAGAGACTTAATAAAAAAAAAAAATTAAACAGTTGTCCAGCCCAGTTCTGGGGACACCAACACTCGGGAGAGCTCAGTGTTTAGTGCACAAGCTGTAAGCCAATGGAGCTGGCCAGGGCCTGCTCAGAGTGGACACAGGGTCTTACCTTGGTGGTGACGGCGGAGGCAGAGCTGGCCACGAGGCTGGTGATGGCCTCACCGCTGCCCGTGGTGCAGGGAGCAGGGGCTGTGGCAGGCGTGGGCAGCCGGGAGGGCACCACTGGCAGTGGCAGGAGGCCAGGCCGGGCACTGAGGCTGCTGGATGTGCCACCACCAGCCCCGGCGGTGGCACTGCAGATGCTGGTGGTCCCATGTGTCCCGTTGGCACTCCACTCGCGGCGGTCCCAGCCCACCCGGTAATCTCTTTCGAAGCGGCTGTGGTGCCGGGACATCTCGGTGGGCCGCAGCGGCTCCTCTCGGGGAAACAGAGGCCGGACCTGCTGGCACAGAGCGGAGAGGAGGGCGGTTAGACAAACAGCGCCCTGCTAGGACGCGGGGAGACAGGGATGCCTGTTGGCACCTGTTAAGCACCTTCTCTGTGTGTGATAAAGGGCTTTCAAATGTTAGCTCACTTCACTTTCACAGCAAGCCCACCAAGCCTGGATCATTAGCCCCACGTCACAGACCAGGAATAAATGATGTGTCCAGGATCACGTGGCCAAGATGTGGCAGACAGGATTTGAACCCAGTCACAGTTTAAAGTGGTGCTTTGTGTTCACACCACACTTCCCTGAATGACACAGATGTACACACTTTAATTATGGTTGGGATTTAAAAAGGAAAATGTTTCTATTGATTTCAGAGAGAGGAAGGGAGAGGGACAAAGGGATAGAAACATAGATGAGAGAGAAACATTGATCGGCTGCCTCCTGCATGCCTCCTACTGGGGATGGAGATGGCAACTTAGGCATGTGCCCTGACGAGGAATCACACCAGCAACCTCCTGGTGCATGGGACGATGCTCAGCCACTGAGCCACACTGGCTGGGTTATGGTTGGGATTTTATCCTGACATCCCCACTGTGAAAGTGAGATCCTATAGACTCCTCAGGTCACATGTGGGGTGACAGCAGCCACGTCGACTATATTCTCATACAGTGAACAAGGACATTTATGTAAATCTCATTGAGTTGTCAAGAGATGGTCACCCCCAATTTATGATCCAGAGAGCTCATTAAGAATAAACGGTTCCTCTGAGGTCAGAGATCTAGAAGCTGAGAATGTGGCCAGGATCCCCACCTTCCTGCAGTAGCTCAACACAGGACTCAAGTCTGAAAAGGTGTTAAGCCTCCGGGAGTTAAGAGTTCTCCTTTGTAAACCTATGATGCAGCTGTCGCCACCAGAGACCCTGTGCTCCCTGGCCTCTGTTAACCAGACCATCTCGCATGTGACTTTCCTGAATATCCGAACATAAGGCCCTCTGTGTTGTCATGGAGACATAGACACACCAGGATCCTCTGAGGACCTTCAGCATCACGAGGACTGCATCTTGCTCAGCATTACGGTGACTGGCCTGGCTCCCTGCCCAGCCGGGCCTGATGTTGCCCTCAGTCAGGAAGGATGTAAAGACATAGGAGAGGCTGTCTCAGCCAAAGAGGCCACAGCGAGGCAGAGGTTACGGTGGTGCCCGGGTACAGATGGGAGGGTTAGGGTGGCAACTGCCTGCACAGAACATGCCCAGCCTTGTCCCAGCTCACGCATGACTTGCTTTTCTTGGACTCTTTTCCATTCTCCAACCATGTCCTGTCTGAGGCGAGCTCCTAGAGGTCAGGAATGACTTCTGGCTCATTTTTCCATCCCATCAGTCCAGCTTGGGCCTGATGGGGACTCTGGGATCGTTGGCTACTGGATGGACAGGTCACAAGCATGACCCTACTCCGGTCTCTGCACATCCAGATCCAGCTTCCAACTTCTAGTGCCACAGGCTCTTTTGGGAAGCTGCACTGACCTGCCCCCACTAGATACAGAGAGAGACCTCCTCTCTCCCCCTGAGCACCTGGCACCCATTCGATCTCACCATAAATGGTTGTTGTATATTTTCTTCCTTGAGAAAAGGAAATCACCCCTTTCCAGCTGGCGAGGGTGGAGATAAGCAGGGCAGGTTCTTCGATGTGCCCACAGGTGGCACAAGGTGCCTGGGATCAGGTCAAAGGGGCCTCCTTAGCCCCAGTGAAACCTATGATGCCAATGAAACCTGACAGCTCACTGTCCTGGGGACCACCTGCTGGACCACATGGTGGCTCCATTGCACTCACAGTCCCACCTCCTGTGCCTCCTGGCCCTTCCACCTCCACCCCGCCGCTCAGTTCTTCAAGTCTCTATTTAAAACGCCGGAGAGAAGGTGGAGACACAGGCAGCAGGAGGCCACACAGTCTGGTTTCGGGCTCATGAAATGTATTCAAAACAAAGGTCAGCTATTCGCACGCCAGGTTTGGGTTGGACTCCGTTTCTCAACTTAATTACCCCTTTCAGATGGAATGAAAGAAATGTGTCGCCGTTTACCCCGGGTGAGACAGCGGAGTGCTAGCTCCAGAGGTGGCAACTTAAGTTTCCCTGCTGGGCACGGAGCCATCGTGTCAAAAGGGTCCTGTGTGCCCACATGTGCGCCGGGCTGGCTGTGGGGGAGGTAGCGGGAAGTGCTAGATGGGGCGGGAGGAGGCGTCTCAGACAAGGTGTCGCAGCCGAGACTGGTGAGCAATTACAGATGAAACGTGTAAAAATGCTTCCTTGTCAGGGTGGGCACCTTTCCCTGGCAGGCTGCCTGTGAACTGGCAGAACCTGGCCCCAGGGCCTTCACCGAGAGAGGGGGGGGTCTGGGCAGCAGCCATTCCTCCCAGTGTGTGGGGGGGACTGTTTATAAAGAAACCAGAGCTCTGGGTGTTTAAATTACATGCACGTGTGAAGGAAGAGCTCTGGGGTCTGGAAATCTGGTAACTGTGGGTGGAAGCAGCCGCACTGAGGGCTGGGGCAGAGACATGCAGGGTAGGTCCAGGGTTAAATCTGAAAGTTCTCCCAAATGTGGGAGTTTTATGTGCAAAATTTGGCTCTGGCCTCTGGGATCCTGTGTGGCCAAGCTGTTTCTCCACCACATTTGCACCATCCCAAGGACTCTGGATTGGCAGAGAGTAAGGGGGCTGGGACTTCCTAAGGGAGGCAGAACCCCATTTTCTTGCCTGGAGTCTCAGGCTGGCACAGAACCTCCCAGATCATAACATGCACGTGCCTCCAGGGTCTCACATGGGGATGCTGGGCTGTGTCTGTAATTCTGTCTCCTGGACACTTGCTGGATACCAGATCAGCAGTCTTGCTGCACAGATTTGCCTCAACATGAATAATTCATGAGTAAATAATTAAGAATTTCATGTGTCACAGTCGTTTGTATTGTCCATGTAGGGCTGGAGTATGGTTGCCACTGTCCAGGAGCTGTGTGTCTGCGGACCCACTGGGTGTGCTCTGCAGGCTGGTAGTGGCCCGCAGCTATGAACACATCCCCTGTGCACATGCTGCAGCAAGGATCACAGGTGGCTAATGACCCTTCCCTCGTTCTTGTCATTAAGGCACTCGGAGGAGTGGGTGCGCGCTGTGAGGGCCCTGAAGGCATGATTAATCCACAGGAAGGTAGGGAGCCTGCGCTGCCTCCAGACGGGGAGCTGGTGCGGCCAGGCCAGCCCCGAGTGGAAAATGTATGATTGCCTCATTTGGGGGCGACGAGCTGCCAAGTCGGTTGGAACAGCCCATGCCCATCCTTATTTTCATTTCCCTCTCTGCATCTTTTAGCCTTTCTTCTGGAGCAAAAAAATAAACACCAGCCAGAACACCATCTTGGCAAATGCAACACAAAGGAATTCTCTGGGTGGTTCTGGAGGCGTTGGCCAGGAGCTGGGGTGCCCCTTGGAAGTGCCTCTCTGCCTCCTGGGGCTGCTCCAGCTCTTGCTGCCCCTTATCCCCACCGAGGCCTCACTAACTCGGAAGACTTGTTCTGGTTGAGGCTGGGGACTGGTGGTCGGCCTCCTACTGCAGGAGGCCCTCTCCGACCAGCCCTCTCTGTCAGAGCTCACACAGGCTGGCCTATGAGGCAGCGATGGGCCTGGACATTGCACCAGCTTTGTGAGTTCCGCTCTTGCAAAGGTGCTCTCTAAAGACAGGACGCCCCCCATTTCACATGAAGCTGACTGCACACAGGCTGGGCACCCAGGGTTGGGCTCAGGAAATGCTCCCAGATGGAAGTGACAGACCCTTTCCATCTTGGAGCACACAGCAGGGCGGCAACTAGGCTGAGGTGAGAAAGCTGCCTAGTGAAAAATGCCAGGAAGCTTCTCCAGCAGGGTCTACTCTGCAGTTATGGCCCTGAAAGGGAGGCCTCCTTGCATTTCACCTCGCCCACCTTGCCTCAGCTTTGGCCCTGCATAACTGCAGGGTAAGGTATTCCTTGGGGTGCAGGTGTTCAGCACCTCCAGATGGGCATGCAATGTGCATGGAGTAAGAGCCAGTACACGTGCCAGCCCCGGCCCAAGACCTCATTTCAAATCCTCTGGACCAGCTCAGGGCCAAGGGAGCTGTGGAACAGTCACAGGCTATGCCAGCCTCTCCCTGTTCCTTCGGCAGGATGAGTGACTCAAGGTGCAGTTTTATTGTTAGTTTCTTTCCTTAAAATACCGAGGCCCCAGGGAGCTGAGTAGTCTTTGTTGTCCCATTTCACCTCTGCTCTGAAAGGGCCTTTTTGTCCACCTTGCCGTGCCCAGCCAAGAGCAACCAGGTCTTCCTGTTACACTGACTCCACCCCTGCCCCCTGCCCACCATCACTGGTCACCTCTCGAACGGGTCCCACTCAGCAGGGCCAGTGTGGAGACGGCCCAGCCCAGGCACCAGGCTGGAGCAGTTCGTCCCAGCCCTGTTGCTTAGCTTCTGGCAGGTTCCACAGCTCTTCCTGCAGCTTCAGGCTCTAACCAGATCAACTCGCTCCACCAGGCCCTCCAGGCTGGGAGGAGAGGGGAGTCAGGGAAAGACAATTCAGTGACCTCTGACCTCTGCTTCCACTGTACCAGAGCGCTTTAGGGTGTCAACTTTACCTTTAAAAGGAGACATGCACAGTTTGGGCTCTAGCTTGTGAACAGAGGTCGTTGGTCCTGGGTGGCCTCTGACTCTCAGGCTGGGTAGATGCAGCTGAAGCTGCAGTGGGCTTCATCTGCCCAGTTCTCCAGCTCACGGCTCTGGACCCACAGCCATGAGACCTTGAGCCCACCCTCGTGCTCTGCCCCTCAGTCCCAGGCCACCTCCCTGTCCACCTTCTGCCCCATCCTATCCCAGAGCAGCTGAGCCAACTTTATGTGCTGTTTAGTGTCCTAAGCCAGTAAGAGATTGGACCAAATGCTTCCTGAACCGAAATGCCAGACTACCTTTGAGATGTGCCAAAAGTGGGCAGTCTGACCTTCCCTCCC